TTTCTTCTCGCGATCATGTGACGAAGCCGAATTTTGAACACACTCAGTAGTCCTTGTCTCATGCTTGAAATGATTCTACGTCTAACGATAGCGTTCTCCTTAGGCACAAATCATTTAAAGTATGGCTCAATTCTCGAAAGCTTTGATACAGTGGAGTTGAGTTGGCTCACCAAGAAACAATGATTAATTTGTTCACATGCAGCACACTGTTGTATATCTATGTATGTATATCTGATCGAATTTGTTGCTTTAAAAAAGTGAACGAAGCAAATGAACAAACAGAGCAAAAAAAAAACGAACGAACGAATGGAATCGATCGATCATGAACGAATGCACATTCATGACAATTTGTCTTTACATTTTTGAATATGAGCGCTTGAATAGATTTATCACCGTCGACTTATATCAGCGCGATTTGCAAATGCTTTTGTTATGGTGGTGCTTCTTTGTGTTCATTAGTTCATGAGCAAATGATTCACTGCGTTCTGAATTCATAATCACCACAGCATTCATGATCAGTCATATTCATCATCAAAAATATATCACGGTAATAAAAGTCAGAACAAAAGAGCAATAAGTAATCATGAGTAAATGAACGGATCAATTCAATAATGAACGAAATGACAGTTAACGTTCACGTCTCATCTCGATAAATCTCAAAAAAAAAAAACAAAAAAAGAAGAATCGAATGAAATGAACCGAAAAATCGAAACGAACGATTGAACGCAACCGAAGAATACGCGTAACTAAATGGAAGAAGACTCAGTGATAGTGGTGTGGAGATGAGAGATCGTCGATGATCTGATGGATTCGCATGTGAAATGATCGCACGTTTTATCACTGTCACCTTGGATCACGTCAGCGAAGTGCGTTTTCCACCTGATGAAACGACCACGGATGTTGGTGCATCCTTACGATCGCCACTGTTAGCAGCACCACCACTACCTCCTCCACCAGATTGACTATCTTCTCGAATCATTCCACTGCAAATCGACTTTTTCGCACCTCCGGATCTTGCGATTGTGGATCGACGATGGGCCAAATTCGGAATCGCTTCTTCGATTGGAGGCCTAAACTCAATCAAATCATTTAGAGAACGTTGCAAATGTGCAGCATGTTTCGATGAGATCACTTCAGCTTCTCACTGCTATATTTCCGTTTCCATTCTACTATCAACAGTCATGTCAACATGATCACTGTTCAAAAGAGATATCTGGTGTGCGAAAATAGTTCAGTGAATGTTTCATCTGAATNAGTGCAAAAAGTCAAGTGGAATAACAAACTCCAATAAATAATACGAGATATTGAGGACTGAAACAAGTGCACGGCCAGTGTAAGGGTGCGTGGGGAGGATTGTTGAGTGCGATATGAAAAGTGCTTCATCGGGCAAACGTGAGTGGATTATTGCTGAGTAAGGTTCCGATTTTGATGGATCGCTATGCATGATTGATGATGCATGTCACGAAATACGGCGAAAATAGTTTCGTATGGGATAACGTGAAATGCACAGTTGTTTTGGACAGCTCTAGTGTATCACAATCATCAACTGAAGATGACCATTGCTTGCTTCAAACAAATTTTCTCGTTTTCACAATAACAATTCAGAAAGCATTGGTCCCAATAATAAGATTACGAGGGAGGATGTTGCTGAATGGTTCACAATGAACATAATTAGTCATTATGCAATAGCATTGCATTGATGCATCATGCTGAGGATGGGATTTATTGATGGTTAGAGTTGATGAATAATTAATGGAATTGAAGGTTGAATGGAATCATAGGTTAACGCAACAATGCCACTATGTTACTTTCGAAAAAGGCTTCATTTGCTCTCGCAAACAGCCACTGAAGAGAATGCGAATTAAACATCAAAATCTCACGAGATTTGACTTGTTTACAATTGGTTCATTTGAAGAGGGAATCTTCTGGATGCGTTTAAATTAGACGATGATTAAAAAGGAATGGATGAATGATTGCTCGAATATGCCAATCGTGTTTGTTTTCAATAGTTGCGCATTGATAAACTGCATTAAGCTTTGCTCACTGCTTGGTAACTATCAACACTCATATGAATGATTGACTTAAGCTAGCAAATGCTATTTCAAAAGGCGAATATAAATAAGACACGCAAAATAGAGCATTTTTTGAAAAATTTTTCGTTTTGGAGACTCTTTGAGCGCCAAACGGCGCGGCGCCTAATTACAACGAAAGTTTCAGCTATTCTCCAAATGTGTAACTTTCTCTATGTGCTTGGAGTCTTCATGAACTCTTTCTTATGAATTATTGTTCATTCTCAGAATCTTTTCATAAGGCGGCGGCTTTCTTCGAAGTGATTTAGTGTTAAGATGAACAAAAATTTGTTGTGGTTCATTGATTGGTGCCTCGTATCAATGTGGATATAGAAAAGCAAAAGCTGGATGCGAACAATTCATAACAGCAAAGATTTAGTAGAGACGAAAAAACGGTTTTTTTTGAAGAAGAAGAAACTGAAACGAACTGTTTTGCTTTTCGCATGGTTTGTATGGCGAGCATGGCAAACAGGAGTGCACAAAGTGCAGCACCTGCAGCAAATAGTAATCGTCTCCACCGTAAATCTTGACTGAACGCTGTCAACCAAATGCATATACTGAAGCTTAGCAATGAGCCAATAACGCATAGAAAAAGCTGAAAACAACCATCATTCAGTATCGTTCAAAAAAAATGTTGAATTGAATGATCAATGTTTTTGAATTTCATCTACATACACAAAAACAGTGAAAATCTCTTGTTTCGTTCACATGGAATAGATTATCGAACTATTATCGAAGATTGGATTATTTGTTTGAGTATTATTGCGTGCTGCTGCTGCTGCTTTCTGATGAATATTCACCCGATTCAGTTGAGAAATGGTGATTGGAAATGCGTAGCAGACTTAATGTTAGCTGCTACATTTTGTGGATGAATTTTTCATGAATGCAATTAAGCATTTCAACGAATTCCATTTTGATTAATGCAAAAGAAATTCGGTTTGTTTTGTTTTTCTTGACTGAGTTTCTGCGTTCATTTTTATTTATGAGTTTGGAGAGTTTCATTTGACATATGCGTAACAAGAAAGTGCTTCGATTGGGTGACATCGTCGAAATGACGCTGACAAGCCAAAAAGATCACATCAATCGATGTGCTGCTGCTATTCGCTTATTTCAGCGGTAATCGCTGTCATTCGCGAATATAGGCGATTGGATTTGTGCCGTTGAGAATTGATCAACGGGGATAATTATGCATCAAGTAAGCAGCAGCAGCAGCATCTAGTAGCGGATGTTGACGAATAACGATGGCGGACGGAGCATATGATGGGAACCACCAACCTGCCCCCCAGTTGAATTAACGGCGGCTCTCTTCCGTGCGGTGACGCTTAATGAGTTTTGAAGTGGGCATTTCGCATTGCTTCCACTGCAAAAACTTCCATGTCCTTCGCAATAACTTTGCTAAAAAAATTTTAATTTCGATGAATTATTGCAATTTGGTGTTTTTTGGTGAACAAACTGGAGGGCTAATTTGCTTTTCAATGATTGTCTCAGTGGAATAATGATTAGTCAAATGCAACCTCGTCGCTCGTCAGCTCCAACAATTATCATAGACTAGTGGTTTTTTTTTTGAGAAAAAATTCTCACAATGAAACGCTTTCAACGATATTTTCCTGGTTCGCTTTTTCTTGTTTTCAAATTTGTTGCGTACGAAACGAATCCGATGACAGACAGAGTTAAGTGATCTCTCGAAAATTTCATCTGTATTGAATAATCCAACGAAAGGAATTATCATCGAAAATGATTTTGAACAGTTTCAGTATGTGTTTTGAAATTTGCATCGTCATTTCTGTCAATAGAAACTCTCGGTTTCGTCCAGTTTTCGAATCGCATAGCATCTTATTCTATGAATTTCCACGTCAAAGCAATTTGAGTGATGTCAGCGTTCGTGAGTGATCGCATTTACTATCATGTGCACGTGCGTTTTATCCTAATAATTAACTGCAATCGTTTGAGAATATGGAATTTTGAAAATTCTTCACGTATGCATGTTGACTTTTTCGAGTTATTTAATCAAACCGACGATTTTGGTTTAATCATTTTGGAATGTCAGTGAAATTGACATTTCTCTTACTGAATCCACTAATATGATCGTAAACGTGCGTTTGTTCAAAATTGATCTCATCATCAGTCAAATGCAGCAGTCGATGTGTTCATTTGAACGTATTTCCAAAAAGGCAGTTGTCTCGAAAATGTAATTCGCAATCAATGTAATTAGTAATATCATCAGTAAGCTGAATGCGTCGCCGCTGTTTTTAGTCATCGTTGTCTGTGGGTGCAGTTGCATCGCAAATAACCACTGGACTGACCCTGAACGCGAGACTCGTCCTTCTGGATGGATCTTGGCTTAACCTGCGAGGAAGTTGACTCTGATTTGATGTCATTCTCTCGCCGATGTTCTCTACTGCAAAAATGAACAAACCAAAACGTTGTGTAAAAATATGTTGAACGCATCGCAATAATCTCGCAGAACATCAAATCAACTATCGTTGCTGCATTTCATAAACTGTCTTTTTTTTCAAAAATTTATGACACAGGAAATGGACGAATTGTAATAGTACATTGGAATACAATTGTTTGAGTGGTCGCAAATTATAATTGTTATAGAATTGTAGTAGTACAAGATGGTTGGTATAAGTTATTGCAAAATGAATGGCAAAACAACACAAATGAAATGAAGAGCAGTGGAGTCGAGTGGAGTGGATTCAAACAAATCGAGATGGGCCAATGGATGACTGACTGACTGACTGACTGACGTACAGCTAACCAATGCATGGCTGACTGAGAATGTTTAGCTTGAAGGCGTTGAGTGGGGGAGTAAGACTGGCTGGATGATGATGGTGATGAGGAGGATGCATAGCAGAATATGAAGAAGTAAGCTGAACCGGGTCGAGTCGAGTCGAGCTGCAGTGTGCCAACAACCAACCTATAGCTGCCAGCTATGCTACTATAACCGCAGGCAGGCACAATTCAACGATATACGATGCATGAATGCTGGTGGATGGATGGATGGATGAATGAGAGGAACAAGAAGAGGAATATGGACAGACAGCAGCTGCTATAATGCGCTCTTGCTTCATGCTCTTCCAGCAATTTTTTATGAGTGATTTGTGCAAGAGTCCAATATTCACCACTGACCACGATTTGCGTTAGATGAATGCAAATAACAGCAGTAGCAGCAGCACTTACAAACACTAGATGGATTTGCGTGCAAATGCAAGACAAACTTACTCGCTCGTTTCCAGTACCTACTGCTGGCAAATGCACCGCTCTCGTCCATTGACACTTCAAAACGCTATTTGTTTATTAGCTTGTTGATGCAACCCCTCGAATCATCTGCTTGATGCATCATCCATCAAAAAAGATTGTTTTTGCATAATCATGATTTGAATGTTAAGGTGGTTTCGCATTATTGACTGAACTGATAACACTATCGTAATATTTACATCATCTCACTGATACTAATACTATGCATGTTACAGTATCGATGCTCTTTAAAAGCTTGTAATCATTCGATATTACATCAAGTCCGTTGTCTTACGTTTATTTTACTTGGCTCTATATCAGCCACTGAATTGCCATTGAACTCTCAACGTTGATCGTATTTTCACAATAGTGCATCGCATTTTTAAGATAACAATAAATATGTAATGTTATTCATTGTTCACTTAAAAGTTCAACGAATAGTACAGCTTGTATCATATGATAACACGATGTTGGCATGTTTATGATGTTTTTTGTTTTACGTCAGAATAGTCCTCTTCGAACATATCCATCTCGTGCTGCTGCTGTTGCTACAGCTACTGATGCTCTTGTTCATCATTGAATATTCCGAGAAAAGGAAAAAAAGCAGCCATTAATCACGCTTCAACTCTTACAAATAATATTTTTCGTTCTTCTTGTCAAACGATCTGAGAAATGCGTTGGCTGCAAGCAAGCGAATTTTCATGCATTTCACCACTTAACTGAGAACTGAAAAATCTTTGCGATGTTCACGCAACCCATTGCAATGTTATAGCTGGTAGGTAAATTTACTGCAAAACTTTTATTGATGGAATTCGAAACATACCGATGAAGATTCGTTCTCATTTGTTATGTTCGATGATGGCGACATTGATGGATGAAAAGTGAATGCACTAAAATATCTATCGAATGATGTTCAACGAATACTCTCACTAGAATTGCTGATCATTTGACGATGAACAGTTGTTTTTTTTGTTGACGATAAGCAATGTGAGAAAGATC